CCTGATCAGCAGGCGAGAGTATACACTAAGCTGTATCTTTGACTCGATGTAATATGAGATAATAAATGTCGCAGATTCAATTTTCTGTTGTTTTAGTTAGATTGTATCAAAATAATTCATTCTAATTTTAGCAGGTAGAAAATTTTGTGTAAATTTCGTTTGTATTCTTTTTACAATTTCACTTTTTAAATACTCTCTTAAATTCTAAAAACTGCATTCATTCAAGTATCAAGTTGTCGAAATCAAAAGTTGATAATATTGAATTTTAATTTTTCATGCAATTAGATTAGATTTTAAGTAGTTAAAAGGATACAAGTTTCTGATATACATGTATATATATTTAATGATTTGATATACTATTTAAATAGCAAATGCAGTAATACTTTTTTACTTTGTTTCTAATAAGTGTTATCATCATTTTAATAATGCATCTTTCGTTTCAGAGATTTGATTGTGTATTTTTTATTTGATACAAAAAAAATTATAAATAAAAATTTTATAGAAAAGAATATTATCAAGAAAACTTAGTAGCATTCTGATTTATCCCAAAACTTAGCATTTTCGATCAATTATGTATCTCGGCCTTCCCCTTCTTGTCTTATATTATAATCATTGATTATTGTTCGAAAAATTTTGATTTATCTATTCTTTCAAATAACACGTTAAAGAAAATGTTTATGAATTCCATTTCCATAAATAAGTAACTACCAACGATCATCAATAAATGCTGTTAAATATAGTATAAAATTAATACTTTGATTTTCTTTTAATCGTAATAATGAAGGAATTTATTACTAATTTTTCTTTTGACCAAATTTTTATTAAATTCTATTTTGTTAATGAAACATATTGTCATATAATTTCTTTTGGATCATGACGATAAATAAAAACACTTTTATCTTATACAACATAAGTCAAAGAAATAAGATGATTTGATTGAGTACCCTGAATTTTTTTAATCGTAGTATTTATATCTAAATCTGTATCAAATAATACACGAGTCATGCAACTCAAAACAAGAAAATAATCACGGATTGAACACCAAGCAATACGTGATAGAAAAACCATCTTTTATAGTCAATCGTGATACATTTTCACTCTAAATTTATTAAATTATTTAAAAAAAAAACAATAAAAATAAAAAACTAATTACTTACTAAAGTACCATTAACATTATATCAGATAAGTTCATCTTCATCATATATAAGAATTTTATCTCGTTTTGAATGACATGCCATAGCACAACAAGTTGATGAAAAACTATACGATTGTACAGATACTGTTCACGATAATGAGCGACGAATTGTTGAATGAAACGTAGGTGTATCAAGTATATTTGTTGAAGGACATCTTTTAAGATCATAAATTGTACCTGTTGTATTTTTGTTCTAAATCAAATAGATAATAATCGATTAGACTGAAAAGGATCAAATCAAACTTGAATAGATATTGGTAAATATGTTTATAAATGACTAAGAGAAAGATCAAATAATCTATTTTATCTGTATATGTTGAACATGTAAACGAATATCGTCTGCTATTGAATTGTATCGAATTGTATCTCTGTTATACAAGGTTCATTTCAATTCGCCGATGGACCTAAAAAACACGTGTTATTTAAGATCTTATCAGTTGCTTTATACTTACAACGAAGAGTAAAAATTTTTAATTGATGTGACATTGCTGTTTTGGTAAGGTACCACTTTCTATTTCATTCATAGGTTATAGTACTATTAAATTTATTTTCAATAGTACATGTAATTGAAAAATTTCGACGTAAATGCAATATTATCAAAAGATAACACATTATTTTCCAGGTGGACTATTTCTATATGTTCGTTTACTATCATTATATGGCAAACATTCTTTTGAGTATTAAATTTTTGTTTGAATTTCTCAATCATTTCCACTATGATTTATCATCAATCACAAAAAACATAAACGACTTTATAATTCAATAAATCATAATGAAAATTCATCAATTGTTAAATATAATTATCTTATTACAGTTGATATTTCAAAAGTTCATGATGATTATAAAGAAGAATTTTTATTTAATACAAATATATATTTTCATACTAATACTCTTCTTTATATCAATGATTAGTCATTAGAAAGAGTGGCACACAAGTTTATCAGAGATGATACACGAATTAATTATGTTAAAATAATTGAAATTTATTTATTCGAAGGAAAAATTTATTCAAAATTTTTGTAAGATTATTTTCCTTTTGCAATAAGACATCGATTATTATTTTAGTAAAACAAATTTATTATCTTATTGAAAAATCAAATATTTCAAAAAACACAATAGAAATAATATTTATCTAGAAAGAAGTCGATATCATTATGTGTGAAAAGTTCTTATCTGTTAGCAAATTGATTTATATTGCTAGAAATCACTGTAAATCAGTTTATTTCCTCTTAATTTGACTAACATATTTATTTATCAGTATGAATGAGAGGAAACTATCACTAAAAAAAGATCATTTCTAAACTGAATTCGGTGGTGAAGTAGCCTTATTCTTACCAAATAACCTAGAATAAATTTGAATAATCAATAATTTTGTTTTCTTCACCTGATCTTTTCACATCTTTTATCTAGACACTCATCAAATGAAACTTTTCCTCAAATCAAATCATTGATAAGGGAGAACAAAATTTTCTTAATGCTATATGACAAAATCAAGTTATAGTATATCTTGTTTTTTTTCATGCAAACACCTATTACTCTGTGCTTCAGAAAAGAACAAATAAATATCAATAATGAAAGAATGTTCTTTACCAGACTTCCTTGAAGGAAATCTAAAACTCTCTTCTTCATGTTTGTTTTTTAAATAAATAAATGCTTTTCAGAGATTATCCACATAAAAGTTCACTAAAATAGATCTGTTAATTATAAAGGTTTTTACTTTGATAAAAAAAATTGACTAAGAGTTGTTTTAGGTTCAACCTTAATTCAATAAAAAAGATTTTTTTATAAAAACAATTGTTCACTTAGTTAATAATCCATGTGATTGACAATTATTATATTTGTCATGATAAAACTCTTAATTGATATTTGATGGGAAAAAAATTTGTTCATTTATTATTGAAAATTTTTCTACTAAAGAATATTGATCATTGAAATTTATATTAAAATAAATAAAAATATTTGAATAAAATTTTACTAAAAAAAAGACTACATTCATCTAATTGATCAATAAATTAATATGAATTATTTTTATTTAAATAATCAATTAGAAAATAAACTCAAATTAATTAATATTAATAAATTTTAACATTTTGTAAAATCAATAATTGAGAGTCATATTTACACTAAAACAAGTATGAAATCGAAAATTTACAAATGAGGCAAATGATTCCATTATTGACTAAGAGAAAAATATTTTATAATAATAAAGACTTTATCTCAAAAAAAAAAAGAAACAAACTGGAAGTAACAGTGTCATCATTTGATAATAATTAAAAAGCTAATTCTCATACTTGTCAAATTTTGTAAAAAGAATAGTTTCTTTTTAATCAAATAAAATTTTTTTTCTTTATTTACAATTTTTGAACACTAACTTGTGAGTGTAGTATATGGATTGAGTGAAGAAAAATATTATTCTCATATTCAATAGAAATGATGTTTTGCCAGGTTGACACATAAAGCAAGATAAACCTTATCTTAATGATTGAATAGAGTTTGATAATGTCTACTGCAAACAAGGTTACTATTTGTGGAAATCAAGTGTTCTATTGAACGCATTTTTCTACAATTATTTTCTCTAAATATTCTTACTTCTAGCCGGTAATTTATACATATGTTTTTTTGTTGTGACTCTCGTGTACAAGTGCAAATTTATTTTTCTTCTCGCTTTTCTCCATTCTAAATCATTTTATTTGAAGCACAATAATCATATTTTAAAAACAAACAAAAGAATTTTTTTCTAAGTTGTGTTTGAAGAAAATGTTGAGTAACAACCACTAAGGATTACTTCTCTCGATAGTAAAGACAAAAAAGCAATAACTATGTTTATGAGTTATACTTTTAATGAAAAACGGTAACAATTGATTATTGTGGATGGTTCATAAGAATTTCATAAATTTCTCAAAGTTATTTTAAGAGATAATCTATTACTTGATCGAGAAATCATTACCTCGGAAACATTTTCCTTTACATCTTTTCGATAATATGACATAAAAGAGCATATAAAATCTACCTATATATCCAAGATTTTAGCCTTGCTTTAATGTCTATTGGCTAAATATGAAGGACATGTTGAACATGACACAAAATCCTTAAAAATCTTTCCTCACACTCAAAATTTTTAGCAACAATGTCGATCTAAAATCTATTAAAAATACTTCTTAATTTAATTACTCAACAGACGGTGGGTGTGAGTCGGAGTGTAGGTGTATGTCTTATCCCACACCCATACTAACAGTATTACATTACTATTCGTCGACCTATGGTCATCATGATAAAATCCAATAGTATCCACATCATCATATTTTTTAAGAAATTCTGATCTTGCTTGGCTATCCTATTGAAAGAAATCAATTGAAAATTCATGTTCGATTTAGAGAACAAAATATACTTGGCATAATTTTAGTATAAGTTCAAGAGCAATTTTTCTGTCAGACTATCGATCGGAATCCAAGAATCATATGGATTTCTTCAATTAACCAGCATGACCTATGCAAAAAAAAGAAATTTTCAAAACTATTTCTCCTTTTTCTTGTTTTTCTTATGATTCATTCTACTTCTTCAACCAATACGACGAATATAAAAATCACTTGTGTCCGGTAAATCATACTGAACAACAAAATCAATAAGACCATTTGTAAATTGTTCTATAGTTTCAGTTCGTTGTTAATGTGTTTGATTTTCATGGATTATTACACTTATGAGATATTTTTGTAAAAGTAATGCACCAATAGTATCAGTTGATCGTTGTGTTTCAACAACTATCAAACAACGTTAAGATCTTGTTTCTTTGTAAATAGTACTTCTTCTATTGTGTATGTGCTACATTGACATTTGCACTCTCATAGAAAAAAATATGATCTTCACAAAGGACATGTTTTGCTAATTGTTGTAATTGATTAGAAAATGTTGCGAAAAATATCCATGGAACACGTTCTTCTTGTGATGATAAACCAAGACTTTCTAATTTTTGTATATCAAATTCCAATTCTGTATCTAATATCCTTTAGAAAAACAAAAAAACCGTAATCGAAATTAGGTTCAACACCATCGGTGTCGTTTTTACATACCGGTTAGTTTCATCTATAACGAGAAATTTCACTTGTTTTTAGTGAAACTAAAATAAGGAATCCTGTAAAACTTTGAATACAATCCATTGAATTATAATTTTACTTGAACTTTTCCTACCATGTCTTGAAGACAATCCGATACAGTAAACATATTATGACCATCATCAGCAATGCGATGTAGGTGCAAATAATAATCACCCGGACATTTTACGAGAATACATATTCTCGCTGTACGTTTATGAAGTAACTTACATAGTATCACAGCAGTTCGATATGTGATTTTTCTTGCTTCATCTTCTGTTTGTAAAACATGTTGGTATGTAGGTGATATAATAAGGCAAAGTGGTGATGACGGATGTTCTCTATTAGATAATACATCGACATGACATTCAAGTAAAGGATGAGCCGTTAAAAAATAAAACTTAATGATCTATCACATCCAATTTGAGCACAAAATCAATAAGTCACCTGGTTATTGAAACCTTCAAAGTGAACAAGACGAGTATTTGATACAATTTGTGTCAACACTAGCTTCTTCATTTAATTCAATTGGTTTGAGTTTGTCTAATGAAATATTAAAAAAAGTCATTGTTGAACTAAACATTAAAAATAAAATAAAGAATACTATATTACCTAATGGTAGATAACAAATTTATATTCTAGGAATATTTTCAAAGTCTTCATCCTTTCTTATTGCTTTAATAAATATATCATCTGTATTTGCCAATGAAGGTAATGGAAGATAGTATTTAATTGGATGATCATCAGCTATAGAAAAAATGACTTCGATTATTTTTCTATCTTAATTCTTATATATATTTACATTAATTGCAAATATCATTAGAAACCTATATGAATGATTGAATTTTTCTTTTCAAAAACTAAATATAGACTTACTCGGTTGTTATTTTTTTTTTTGACATCAGAATTATAGAAACTATCGCCATGCTATTTGAAAGACTAAACAAATAACACATACTATATATATAACCTGAATATACTTACTTTTGGTATCATTTCCAAGACGAACACCATGATTATCTAGCAGCTAAATAAAAACTATGGTTCTTCCTACTTATTTAAAATTATCTTACCACGAACATCGAATATAAATTGTCCTCTGTATGGAGCTCAATGATTTGTATTGAACAAATTGTTTTTCAATGTAGAAATATAGATGATGATTTATGAAACGTTGTACTCGTACGAGACTCGTCAGACACCGATGATTTGCAATTATTTGGCGACGACACCAAATCAGCACTGTGTTCATTATTTTTACCTCGTGTATCTTGAAGACAAATACAAGCAAATTTTTCATATTTATTTAGTTTTATCTTACGATGAGCAGCTGAACTGATTCGCTTTCTAGATACGACTGGACTACTTCCAATAAACATTGCATTGTTCTATGTAGATCATAACGATTTTTTTTGTTTTTCTCGAGGTATTCTATAACTTTGTTGTTTTAATTTGTACATAGTTTCTGTTGTTTGACAACAACAATTCATTACTACGATTCTCAACATCTGAACTCAAAGTAACATAACGTTCATTATCAATTCCATCAGGTTCATCGAGTAGCTCAGAAAATTCTTGACGCATTTGGTCAGTTTTGCTACTAGTGTTATGTTCTTTAAAACAGAGGAAAATAATTTCATTAAATATGGCATACTTTTTTAAACTATTGATGAATTTTCAAATATTTAAGCATCTAAACTACACACTTGACAAACGATTATCCTCACTCTATCAAAACACATAACTATCACTGTATTGCCTAAGGAAAAATAGAAAATTTTATTTGATCCATATAAGCAGCAAAATTATACTAATAGAAACTCCAATCGATGGCGATTTTGCAACTGAAGTGTGCATTAACATTATCATTACTGTGTTTCTAATGATTGATATGACAGAAAGAAATTTGAAATCTCTTGTGTGTCATTACTAACAGTATCGACATGAATAGGAATGCAAGTTTACTCTTGGATGAGTGTTTCTCGAAAAGAGTTAATTACAACTGTTGTGAACAAGTGATACGAATGATTCGACTCATGCTATCGAATATGTATCATGTGATTTTTCTGTCAAAGTCAAGTCAAAGGTCTCTAAATAATTTTATGGGGACTCACTCAGACTTACAGAGATATCTGTTAATGTTTGATGATCTTAGTGAAAGTAGACTTAAGGAGAAACAAACTTTTTGATTTATCATGCTGTAGTTTGTAGGCATTAAAGTCACTCAACTGTAGCAAACTAATTTCGTACGACTCTTGCTTGTAAGAAAAGTCATACAATAAAATTAGATTTCAATCCTTGCTTCAAATGTTTGTCAGCAAACAGATATATGAAAAAGTACAAGTAGTAAAAAGTATTCGAAACATATTTTATTCGAATTCAATCAATAATAATCCTTAGTATTTATGTGTAAAATGAGGATTCATATGTGAGCAATAACTGCTCGTTCAGTTCTAATAATGTTTATATAATATTCTACATGTTTGCGATTGATAACGAGTTATTTTCTAGCAAGTTAGAACATATATAAGTAATCTTAGGTCAAAATAACAAATCAACTAGTAAAATTTATTTTTTTAAAAAGACTTTATGGAGAAAAATTCGAACGAAATCATCGTACCGTTAATACATGATCTCTCTAGTAAAAGATTACTAATACAATACGATTTTGTAATGTTGATGGATAAAAACACAGTAGTTCTCTATAGTGAGTTTTTAGTCAAGTCTCCTGAAAAAGTTTCGTGTTCCTGTAGCAAAACTAATTTACCTATCTATATGTCATAACTACACTTACCAGACAATAAATGGATGCAACTGATGTTTACTAAAGGTGTAGAATCAATTTGATTTGAATATTATGTTAACTTCGTTTGATTTCATTTCTTTTCCTGACCGATCTATATTTATTTCATCAAATTCATTTTCTTGACGAATATTTTTTAACTCATCAGCTAATTGAGATAATATATTTTTCATTTCACTATAATGTTGCATATTCTGTTCAATCAATAATTATCTACATTCTTCTGCTGTTTTCTTTAATTTTCTGAATCTATTCTTCGTCCTATAAGTTCACTTCCTGCATAAATAATAGATTAATGAGTGTTTAACAAAATTCTTGTAAATGATTGTAACAAACATCTTTCGACTTTGGCTGTGCCTGTCCCTTTTATTAAATGGTTTGACGATGGAAATTATGTCTAAGTACGGGAATATACAGAGCAGATCGAAATGAGTGAGTATCTATGGTGTGAATACATACAGATATAGACAAACAAAATGAGTCAATGCCAGTT